TTCCTCAAATAACAAAACCGATCTTGAAGAAGAAAAATATAGTTAGAGTCACACACTCCTGACTTTAAAACTTATCACAGACAGACATAGTGGTACATATCTATAGTCTCAGCCACTCAGGAGGCAGAGGATAGAGGATCTCTTGAGCCCAGGAGTTCTAGACAAGTCTGAGCAACATAGTGAGACCTTGTCTCTAAAAAAAAATAAAAATAAATTAATACAATTAATTACAACAAAGTAACCATAATGAAAATAGTGTTTTATTGGCATAAAGGTAGACATATAGGTCAATGAAATAGAAGAGTAGCAGAGAAACTTAAAATAAATAAATCCTCACATATATGGTCAAATTATTCTTTTTTTGTCCAGAAACAGGATCTTGCTATGTTGCCCAGGCAGGACTCAAACTCCTGGACTCAAGCAATCCTCCTGTCTCAGCCTCCTGAGTAGCTGGAACTGTAGGCACAAACTATCATGCCCAGCTGATCAAAATGATTCTTGACAAGGGTGCCAATACCACTCAATGGAGAAAGGACAATCTTTTCAACAGGTGGTGTTGGGAAATTTAGATATGCACATGCAAAAGCATGAAGTTGGACCCTCAGCTTACACCATACACAAAAATTAACTCAATAAGGATCAAAGACATAAACATGGAGTTAAAACTACAGGCTGGGTGTGGTGGCTCACACCTGTAATCCCAGCACTTAGGGAGGTCAAGGCAGGAGGATCACAAGGTCAAGAGACAGAGACCAGGCTGGTCAACATGGTGAAACTCATCTCTACTAAAAATACAAAAATTAGCTGGGCATGGTGGCACACACCTGTAGTCCCAGCTACTTGGGAGGCTAAGGCAGGAGAATCGCTTGAACCTGGGAGGTGGAGGTTGCAGTGAGCCGAGATCATGCCACTGCATTCCAGACTGCTGCCTGACAGAGTGGGACTCCATCTCAAAAAAAAAAAAAAATTCCTAGAAGGAAACATAGGAGGAAATCTTCATGACATTGGATTTGACAATGATTTCTTGGCTATGATCCCAAAAGCACAGGCAACAAATGTAAAAATAGATAAATTAGACTGCATAAACATTAGAAATGTATGTGCATCAGTGAACAAAATCAATACCATGAAAAGGAAATCTTTGTTATGGGATCAAATATTAGCAAATCATGTATCTGGTAATGGGTTGCTATCCAAAATATGTAAAGAACCCCACAATTAAACAAGTAAACAAAAAAAACCTTATTAAAAATGGGAAAAAAAGACTTGAATAGGCACTTATCCAAAAGAAATTTACAAATGGCCAAAGGATACATGAAAATATACTCAACACCATTCATAATTAGATTAAATTATTTAAAGAAAAATCCACCATGAGATACCACTTCAAACCAAGAGAATGGCTACTATAAAAAATAAAGCAAAACAAAACAGAAAATGACAAGTGTTGGTGAGGATGTGGAGGAATTAGAATGCTTGTGCACTGTTGGTGAGCATGTAAAATGGTATAATTACTATGAAAACGAGCATGGTGTTTCCTCAAAAAGTTAATAGAATTAACATACGATCCAGCAATTCCACTTCTGGGTATATGCAATCCAAAAGGATTGAAAGTAGAGTCTTGACAGGTTACTTGTACACCCGTGTTCATAGCTTTATTATTCACAATAGCTAAAAGGTGGAAGCAAAGCAAGCATTCACCGCTGGATGATTATAGAAACAAAAGGAGGCATATACATACAATGTGATATTACATGGCCTTAAAAAGCTAAGAAATTTATACACATGCTACAATATGAATGAATCCTAAAGATATGCTAAATCAAAAAGTCACAAAAAGACAAACACTGTACGATTCCACTTATGTGAGATACAAGGAGTAGTCTTTTTCATAGAAACAGAAAGTAAAATGGTGATTGCCAGGGGCTGGGGAGAGGGAGTAAGAGAGAACTGTTGTTTAATGGGTGTAGAGTTTCAGTGTTGCAAGAAGACAAAAATTCTAGAGATCGGTTATACAACTATGTGATTCTATTTAACATTACTAAACTGTACACTAAAAAAATGATTAAGGCAGTAAATTTTGGATTATGTATTTTACCAAATTTTTTAAGAAAAGTGTTCACTGCAAGAATTTAGGAGAGTTCAGCACAGTTGCAGTATATCAATATATTAACAATTATAACAATAACCACAATAAAAATATTTTAAAAGATACTATTTAAATAGAACAGAATTTTCTTCCAGACTTTAATAGCATTTTTTCATCACTGTAATTGTTTAAAGGGTTGTAGATATGGAAAGAACAAAACAAAGACTACTAACTTAACTTGTTACTGGTTATAGAACACACACACAAAAATTATTCCATTTGAATTATTTCTGGTTAGATCTCAATAGTATTCACTCACTTCCCATAAGTTGGTGAATTTTTGACTACCTAAAAGAGAAAAAACCTTGACAAATAGGAAATTTCAGAAAGTCAATACTTTGCTGGACAAGATATCTTATTTGACCTAATAGCAAAGCCATGATATCTCACAGCCAAGATTCAAGTTCCAATCTTCCTAATACAACTATGTTGCTGACTCATCACCTACATCCAAGTTAGGTCAGTTGAGAGCTTGGGTGTTGCCCTGCATAAAGACGGAGGCATGGACCAGATGGCATCCCAGCCCCATCATCCTAGATACCAGATGTTGAACTTCTGAGTAGACCTGCCATTGTGACAACCTGGGAATCAATGTCCTGACCACTCCCCCATTACTAAGCCCTTTGGAACAATCTGAGCAGGAGAACAAACATCATACCCAGGAGAGAGGGTGGCAGACCTCTCAGGGTGATGTGGCCCATACACCTCAATAAGCGTGTCTCAGAGTGTGTCTCCTATGAGAGTGACCTGAGTCATAAGGAATAGCTATTTATAAACTGTAAATCAATGCTAATACCAATGAGAGGATTTAAAAGTCATTAAATATCCATTGTGCGCATAGCCTTGTGTTGAAAAATGTAGGTAAAGAAATATGAAACACCCAGGGCAGGCCATCAAAGAATTTACTATTATGTCATTAGAGTGATACGCCACAGGAAGGGAAAAAAATTGGGATTGAGCCACACTGTCCTGGAAGGACAGAGGCCATGGCATGCACTGCAGGGAGAAGCATAATCAAAGTACAGAATATAATCCAGTTCAGTTTCAGAACATTTCTGAAGGTAGACAACAAAGGCTTAAACTAAAGACACAGTCTTATTTCACTGCAGGAATTTGGACATTTACCCTTATACAGTGTGTAATCATGAACACGACTTTACTAATGACTTAGCGTTAATTATGCACAGGGATGGGAGAGTGTTTTCTTGGATGTCATAAAAGAACAGAATCAAAGACACACTACAAGTGTTTGGAGATACTACGTTGTCAGAGGAGTCTAGGCAGCTGTAATAGTTGATGCTCTGAGAAAGGGGGTACCCACACACACACCTCTCTCTCAATATGTAAGCTCTGTGTATGTGTTTATAAATACACATGTATCTCCACCAGGTTTTGGTTAGGGTCACCATGTCCATTGTGACCTAGACATCATTCCCAAGTTCTGGGCATATCCAGAGTCTGTCAGGGGCTGGGAGGAAGAGGACTTGTCCCTCATATGATTTAATCTGGCTTTTCTTGGTCTTCCTCTGAAGAAATAGTTTAATTTGTGGATAACCTTGCAGTCATGGCTGTCTTAGTGACTAGTGTGTCCTAGAATGAACAGGAGCCCATTTCATTAATATCCTAAAAATGTAAAAATTCAAAACATTCCATTCATATAAATCCTGTGGACATGTAGAAAGCTAGTGATTCTAGTGGAGAGAGAGGACAGGGGCTTCCAAAGTAGCAGCATAAACACATTCACATTAAATATTAAGGACTCTTGTTCTTAAAAGGCCCCCATCCCCTTATGTTCCAGGACGGGGTCCCACCAGCCATTTGACCCCACATGAAGCATAGGCTTATAATGTCTCACAACCATGTCTCTTTTCTTTCTCTTTCTCATCTGTGACCATCATCCGGTGCTCCCAGCGTGAACCCAGAAAAGTCCAGATTCTCACACTAATACTAAGAGCAGAGCTGGGGCTTCTTGTTTCTCTAATGAGCTGCTTCCTGCGTCACATCTCAGTGCTGGCACATCAAGGACCCCACCAGAAGAAAAGGGCTATTTAAAAGCAAACAGATCACCAACAGCCAGACTCACTCTCATTAGAAAAAAGCTGCCCTTTGTTTGTTAAAGATCAGCATATTCACTCTGTATTCAGCAAGGTATGAATGTTTCACTTATTCAGAGCCTACAACATTTCAGTCTCTCTGACAGGCACCTTTTCTCTTTTTTGTGTTAATCTATTGACTTTCACAACTAACTAATTCTTCTGTAACTAATTCTTTTCCATCTTCCAGCTTTATGGTTTAAAAAACCGTACAGGCTAAATACTTTCAACAGTTCCACCTCGCAGGGCCTCGTCCTGGGCCGGGTTCTACTTCAAGGGTTTTACTTGTATAGATGTCTACATTGCACCCACAGCACACAGCTTGGTGGTGCACAGGGACAGAAGTAAACATGCATGGAAACCTCAGGGATTAGTACTTCAACTTCAACCCAGGCTACATGGAGCATCAGGTACTTCGGAAGAGACAGAAATGAGATAGGTCCTAAGTTCTAAGACTGAGAACTGAGAGGCTCTCAGGGAAGCAGCCTTCAAGTAAATGAGGTGGGTGATGGTAGCAGTTATCCTGGAACCCCATTTCAAGTAGGCACTTTCCTATCTGGGAGTGGCTGCTTTGAGCCTGGGGAGAGAGGTAGGTGAGGAGCTGTCAGTCACCACCCATCACAAGACCCACGTGGGTGTCAGAAGGAAGGTCTTCTCATGCCCAGGCCCTGTCTCACAGCTGGGGCAGAGCCCAGGCCAGGATAAAAGGGCTCGGGGCCAGACCACCCTTCCACTCACCTCCTGAGGTGCTGAAGAACCCTGTGCTGCCTGTGACTCCGGTAAGAACAGGAGCAAGGATGCTTAGAACAGAGCAGGAGGAAAGGAAGGGCGGGGCCTCAGGGGCTAGGGTCATGTTGTCAGAGGTGGAGGGTTTAGAAAAGACTGAAGGGGCGGGCGCAAAAAGGGGTCTGGCACTAACTGGGAGCAGAAAGGAGAAGAGGAAAAGAGCTGGCTGGCTGGCTGTGCCATGTGCCTTTGAACTCCAGAGGAAACAAACTGCTCTGGGATGAGGTGGGTGGTCCAGAATGGGAACCTTGAAGCAGAGAGACCTGCTCCACTCTGGCAGCCCACGGGAGGGAAGCCCACTTCTGAAGATACAACCCTGTCTCTGCCTGCAAGGGAAGAACTAGAGCTGTGGACATGGGACTAAAGGCTCTTTGGGGTTTGTGAACCCCACATTTTCATGGGTCTGAGATTTGTTCACAAACTTCCCAGCTTGGTTAGCACTCACCAAGCCTGAGACCCACTGTGTCAGCCCATCAGCCTGAGCAGATGGTGAGTGAGGAAGTCTGAGCTCCAACATGAGATCAGGGGGTCAGGGTTCAAGTACTAGGTCTGCAGCAATTGCTGAGTTTATCTCTTTCTATCGAAGTGAGTTTACTGACTAGTAGTCTCCAAGATCCTGTGCAATGCTGACCTTCCCAAGTAAAATTGTCTTGCAAGTTATGACCAGAGAGAATGACTGCCTCTTCTCCTTTAAAAATAAATTTTCCTTAAATGACTCGTAAATCAGACAATTTCAGTCTGAAGACATATTTGTAATAATTTCTTCCTCTACTGACAACACATTAGCATCTTAGATGCATTTTGCAATATTGTTTAGTCTTAGTTTACAATTGTCTGACATTCAAAGATATCCGAAGCTTGAAAAAGATGATGTGAGAGTTTGAGGAAGTTATTGGAAATAAAACTCCTGAAGATGATGCATTTATACGTGAGAGATGCTAAGAGTGTCACAGGGGCAGAGGTGGCCCCTGCCTGCATCTGACTTGTTATTTGACTCTCCTTCAGCTCCTGAACACCCACCGCCAAGATGTCCTGCCAGCAGAGCCAGCAGCAGTGCCAGCCCCCTCCCAAGTGCACCCCCAAGTGCCCTCCCAAGTGCCCCGCCCCTAAGTGTCCCCCAAAGTGTCCCCCTAAGTGCCCTCCAGTCTCTTCCTGCTGCAGTGTCAGCTCCGGAGGCTGCTGTGGCTCCAGCTCTGGGGGCTGCTGTGGCTCCAGCTCTGGGGGCTGCTGCAGCTCTGGGGGAGGTGGCTGCTGCCTGAGCCACCACAGGCGCCGCAGGTCCCACTGCCACAGACCCCAGAGCTCTGACTGCTGCAGCCAGCCATCGGGGGGCTCCAGTTGCTGCGGAGGGGGCAGCGGCCAGCACTCTGGAGGCTGTTGCTGAAGTGGACCTTGACTTCCTCTTCCTTCCGATTCTGCCTGAATAGCTGAGAGGTTCCAGCAAAAGCTTGAAGTCTTGCCTGGAGAATCCCTCTGGCCTGGTGTCAGGAAACCCAAAATCTTTCTCCTTAATGGCATTCAGAGATTTTCTTCTGCATATCCATGGCTTCCCTGGGAACCCCAAAGCACACACCTACTTCCTGCGCAGCTCACACTGCTGTATCCTGCTGCCTAAACTGAAGAAATAAAGTCCAGAATCTGCTCCCCAACTTGTTACTAGCCTGCTTGATTTTCCCGTTTGTGTCATGCTTGTTCTGCTCCCCTGTGTCTGCTGGTGGCTGCTGAGGCCTTGGTGGACAGGGGATGGGGAAAGGGTTCAGGAGGAAAAAGCTTGCATTTTTGTGTGTTTTGTGTTTTTTCTTCTTTCTGTGTTTTCCTTTTAAACCAAGGGCCTGAGGCAGTTTTAAGAAGCATTGTTCTTTCAACTTCTGGTTCCTTTCGTGTTTGTAACTGTGTCCCTTAGGCATGGCCAGGAGGCCGACTTCATCCTCCTTCTCACTGTCACCTCTTCACCCTTGTGTTCCTCGGTCCCCACTCCTTCCACTAACAATCTCCCCGGACTCCTCCTTCAGATTGTATGTACACGTAGTAGACATATAAATATAAGTGTGTGTATGTGTATATATACACATATATTTTCATATACACACATTATATGGAATAAATCTTTAATTTTTAAATCTAAATCACTTTTATTGATGCATAATTTTCACACAATAAAACTCCTTTTTAAAATATGCGATTCAATTAGTTTTACCAAATGTATACACTCTTGTAACCACAATTACTAGGAACACTCTAAAACTGTAGTTGATTATTTATTAATCATTATTTGCAGTAAGGTTTAAAAATAGGCTATAAGTTTATAGATTTATTTCTGGATTTTCTGTTTTGTTTTTTTTGGTCCATACGTCTGTTTTTATGCCAGTACTATACTGTTTTGGTTAGTATAACTTTGTAGTATAATTTGAAATCAGGTAACATGATGCCTTCAGCTTTATTCTTTTTTGTTCAGGACCACTTTCGCTATTTGGAGTCTTCTAGGGTTCCATAAAAATGTTAAGCCTTTTTTTTCTGTTGTATTAATCAGGGTTCTCCAGAGGGACAGAACTAATAGGATATATGTATACATGAAAGGGAGTTTATTAGGGCAAATTGGCTCACATGGTATTTCAACAGAGATTGCACTGAATCTGTATATTGCTTTGAATACTGCAGACTTTTTAACAATATTAATTCTTCCAGTTCATGAGGCTGAGACACCTTTCCATTTGTTTGTGTCTTCTATTTCTTTCATCAGTGCTTTTAGCTTTTGTTGTAGTTCTTTCACTTCTTTCGTTAAATTTATTTCTGGCTATTTTATTTTTTGTGGCTATTATAAATGAGATTGTTTTCTTGATTTCTTTTTCAGATAGATTTCTATAAGGGTCTAGAAACACTGCTGATTTTTGTATGTTGATTTTGTATCCTGCCACTTTGCTAAATTTATCAGTTCTAAGAGTTTCTTGGTGGAGTCTTTAGTTTTTCTAAATATAGTATCACATTATCTGCAAAAGGGATAACTTGACTTCTTCCTTTCAAATCTGGATGCCATTTATCTCTTTTCCTTGGCTAATTACTCTGGCTAGGACTTCTACCCTATGCTGAATTAAAGTGGTGAAAGTGGGCATCCTTGTCTTCTTTTGCACTTAATAGAGAGCCTTTCCATTTTTCTTCATTCAGTATGATATTAGGTGTGGGTTTTATCATGTTGAGGCATGTTCCTTCTACAGGTAATGTCTTGAAGGTTTTTAACCACCAAGAGATGCTGAATTTTATTGAATGCTTTTTCAGCATCTATTGACAAAACTTAAACTAGACCAAGAAGAAAAGAGAGAAGCCCCAGAAAAATAAAATCAGATAAAAAATGAAACATAATAACTTATATCACCACAATATAAAGGATAATTAGAGACTTATGAACAACTGTACACAGACAAATTGGAAAACCTAGAAAAAAACAGAAAAATTACTGGACAACCCACCGAGATCAAACCATAAAGAAATACAGAACCTGAACAGACCTATAATGAGGAATGAGATTAAAGCAGTAATAAAAAGTTTCCCATCAAGAAAACTCCCCAGACCTGATATATTCCTTACTGGATTCTACCAAACATTTAAAGAAGAACTAATTCTGATTCTACTCAAACTACTTCCAAAAATTGAAGAACACCAAACACTTCTAAACTCATTCTACAAGGCCAGAATCACCCTGATATCAAAACCAAACAGACACACTAGAAAAAGAAAACTACAGGCCAATATCTCTGATGAACATAGATGCAAAAATACTCAACAAAATGCTAGCAAACAGAATTCAACACTACCCTAAAAAAATTATTCACCATGATCAAGTGGGATTCATCCCAGAAATGCAAGAATGGTTCAACGTATGCAAATAAATAGGCATAATGCATCAAATCAGCAGCATCAAGGCTGAATAATATTCCCTCTGCTATACAGTATATATATTCAGAATCTTTAAAATTCACTCATCCACTGAGAGACATTTAGGTTGTTTCCAGATCTTGGTTATTGCTAATAATGCTGAAATAACGCTGGGAGTACAGATATCTCTGGAAAATACTGATTTTATTTCCAGAAGTGGAGTTAGTAGATCATGAAGTAGTTTTATTTTCCTTTTAGGAAATTCCATATGGTTTTACATAATGGCTGTACCAATTTATATTTCCACCAACAGTGTACAATAATTCCCTTTTTGCCACATCCTTGCCAACACTTGTTATATTTCATCCTTCTGATAATAGCCATTTTAACAGGCATGAAGTGATATCTCATTGTGGTTCAGATTTGCATTTCCCTGATGATTAGTGAGATTGAGCACCTTTTTCTGTACACCTGTTGGACATTTGTATGTCTTTTGAGAAATAGCTATTCAGTCTTTTGCTCATTTTTAAATTGGGTTGTTTGATTGTTGCCATTCAGTTGTATGAGTTCCTTCATGTATAATTATTAAGTTTGTCAAGATGAGAAAGCAAAACAAGATCACTAGTTTCCTTGGTGCTGGCTCTGATGCAGAGAGATAAAAATATAACTCCACTTTAACTATCGTATTTCCAGTTAGATCTCAGTAATGTTTCCTTCCATCCCATGTTATGAAAAAATGTTGATGATGTAAAAGACAAGTGCCTTGACCCTCAGAAAATCAATGCTTTGCTGATCAACATGTCTGTATTGACCTGAAATCTAGGCTATGATTTCTCAAGGCCAAGACTTAATTTCCAGACTTTCTGATACAACCATGTTGCCGACTCATCACCTACATCCAAGTCAGGTCAGTTGAGGGCTTGGAGTTGCCCGGCATGAAGGCAGAGGCATGGACCAGATGGCATCCCAGCCCCATCATCCTAGATACCAGGAGTTGAACTTCTGAGTAGACCTGCCATTGTGACAACCTGGGAATCAATGTCCTGACCACTCCTCCGTTACTAAGCCCTTTGGAACAATCTGAGCAGGAGAACAAACATCATACCCAGGAGAGATGGTGGCAGACCTCTCAGGGTGATGTGGCCCATACACCTCAATGAGCCTGTCTCAGAGTGTGTCTCCTATGAGGGTGGCCTGAGTCATAAGGAATAGCTGTTTATAAACTGTAAAGCCAATGCTAATACCAATGAGAGGATTTAAAATCATTAAACATCCATTGTGCGCATAGCCCTGTGTTGAATAATTGAGGTAAAGAAATATGAAACACCCAAGGCAGGCCATCAAAGAATTTACTATTATGTCATTAGAGTGATACGCCACAGGAAGGGAAAAAAATTGGGATTGAGCCACTCTGTCCTAGAAGGGTAGAGACCATGGCTTGCATTGCAGAGAGAAGCATAATTGAGGTACAGAAAATAATCCAGTTCAGCTTCAGGTCATTTCTGAGAGTACATGACAAAGACTTAAATGAGAGGGAGCACACAAAGTCTTATTTCACTGCAGGAATTTGGACATTTACCCTTAAACAGTGTGCAGTCCTGAACAAGACTTTACTAATGATTGAGTCTTAATTATTTATGGAGATGAACAAGTCTTTTCCTGAATCTCACACTGGAACAGCATCAAGGAGGCCCTTTTATCCTGGCCTTGGGCTGTGCCCCTGATGGGTGAGGCAGCACCTGGGCATAAGAGGACCTGCCTGTTGTCACCCACGTGGGTTGTATGATCAGGTGATAAACCAGCAGCTTCTCACCTGCCTCCCTCCACAGAAGATCAGAATAGCTCCCATTAGTGCCACCTCATTTTTCTTGGAGCTGTCTTAGACCTTTTTCTTGGAGTTTGTTCTCCAAGCCCTCTTTTTCTATATCCCTGATGGTATCATTTAAGCTAAAATTTTACAGAAGTCTTTTAACGTCCCTGATGTGTCCCAGATTGTGTGTGTGTGTGTGCAAATACATGTCTATACCATCACAGTTACAAGCCTGGTAGGAGTCAGACACACCTGGGACAGAATCCCGGTTCTGTCACTTATTAGCTGTGTTACTTCTGAAAATCCCCAATTATCTCATCCTCTGTTTCCTGAAATTTCAAATGAAGATAATAAAGATTAGTCTCCAGGATGTCGTGAGGATCAATGAAGTTGTAGGAGAAAATGCATGTTAAAGTTCCTGTAACACAGTGAACCCTCGTATGAAACACCTGTCTATCAATAATTTAAAGGGAAAGAATACTTTTTGAGATGGTCCAAGTCTCAGGCACTATGTGGAGTGAAGGACCCCATGGAAAAGAGTTCCCTAGTGGGGGAGGCTGGAAGACCTGAAAAAAAACAGGAGGACTTGAAATACAATGGGAAAGTTTTAGTATTATTGCTTTGTTTCGACACGAACAAAAGTTTTTGTGTGAAGGTCTATTTAAAAACATTTTTAGGAGATTAAGATTTACTAATGTCAATTTGGTATATAACAGGTGTTTCTTTCATATCTTGAGGGCAATATTATTTAAAAAATGAACTAATTAGATGAAAGCAAATCAGACTAGGGAGTAATCGTGTGAAAAAGTTATCTTTTCAAGAAGTGTCCAAAACAATTCTCCAGAACATGTGATGGGGTGGAAATGGCCACAGTAATACCAATATCCAGGTCATAATGGGTATAGAGAATCAATATCTGAGATATGTATATGGACATAGGCATAGATAGATATAGAAGT